TCTCTCTCTCTCTCTCTCTCTCTCTCTCTCTCTCTCTCTCTCTCTCTCTCTCTCTCTCTCTCTCTCATTTTCTCTTTCCAATTCTCTCATTCTCTCTCTCTCCCTCCTTTCCTCTTTCCCTCTTCTTCTATTTTCCCTTTCTTTATTTTCCCTTTCTCTCTTTGCCTTCCTCTCTTTTCCTTCCCTCTATTTTCCCTTTCTTTCCGTTCCTCTCTTTCTCTTTCTCTCTTTTCCATTCCTCTATTTTCCCTTTCTCTCTTTTTCTTTCTCTGTTTCCCCTTCTTCTCTTTCCCTTTCTCTATTTCCCCTTCTTTTTTCTCCTTCTCTCTTTCTCTTTCTGTATTGTCCGTCTTTCTCTTTCCCTTTCTCTTTTTCCCTTTCTCCTATTTCCCCTTCTTTTTTCTCTTTATCTTTCTGTATTGTCCGTCTTTCTCTTTCTCTTTCTTTTTTCTCTTTCTCTCTTTCCCTTTCTCCATTTTCCCCCTCTCTCTTTCCCTTTTTCTATGTTTCCTTTCTCTATATCCCTTTCCTCTCTTTCTCTTTCTCTGTTCCCTCCTCTCTCTTTCCCTTTTTCTGTTTCCTTTCTCTATATCCCTTTCTCTCTTTCTCTTTCTCTCTTTCCCTTTCTCTACTTCCCCTCCTCTCTTTCCCTTTCTCTCTTTCCCTTTCTCTACTTCCTTTTCTCTCTTTTCCTTTCTCTATATCCCTTTCTCTCTTTCCCTCTCTCTTTCCCTTTTTCTGTTTTTTCCTTTCACTCTTCCCTTTTTCTATTTCCCTTTCTCTCTTCCCTTCGTAGATGTTAGGCCAAAGAGTGTTATTATGGTTGGCTGTGGTGGGCGTGGCAGAAGTGGGCGTGTCAGCTCGTCTGTTGGAAGGCGTGGTTGCCGGCTTGCGAAATCTTCCTGTCATCGGCAACATCCTACAGGCCTCCTTCCATCCTGTTTTCCGCCCCGTGTTGCCGTCGTTGCATCCTGCAGGACACCGTGAGTATTGCGAGAGATCGTGGTTCGTTTTGTTGTAGTTTTGTTTTGTTGTTTTGTTTTGTTTTTGTTTTGTTTTGGTTTTGTTTAAGATGGTTGTGGGTGTTTGTTTGTTTGTATGTTTGTGTGTATGATTTTATTTATTTTTATTTATTTTTATTATTATTGTTATTGTTATTGTTATTATTTTTTTTTTTTGTTATTTATTTCTTAATTTTTGTTGTTGTTATTTATTTATTATTGTTTTTTTTTTGTTTTTGTTTTTTGGGGGGGGGTGTCATCTGTAGAGGGAATAAGTAATGAAATTTATGTTCGATGTTTTACTGCCATCTTCATGATAGTTCTTATCATAGTTTTGTCACTGTCATCTGTCCCCCTTTCTCATTACTATGACCATTATCCTGTGCTTCGTCATTATCATCATCCCCATATCATGCCCGACTTCATTAGTATCACCATCACCACCATCCTCCTCCTTCTCCTCCTCCTCCATATTCCCTTCCTCCTCCTCTCCATCATCATCACCACCACCACCACCTCCACCTCCACCTCCTTCCCTCCCTCCCCCGCACTCCTCCTTCTCTTCACTTTCCTCCTCCCCTCCCTTTTCCCTCTTCTTCACCATCACTACCACCACCGTCTTCCCTCCCTCCTTCCTCATCACCACCACCATCACCAGCCAGTCCCATCCTCACTACCTCCTTCTTTCCCTCTTCCTCATCATCACCATCATCACCAGCCATCCCTTCATCATTATCATTATTATGACCATCATTCTTTGTTTCATCACTATCATCATCCCCATATTCATCATACGCCACCACATCCTTCCCTCCTTCCTTCCTCATCACCAACACGTCCTCCTTCCTTCCTTCCTTCCTCACCACGACCGCCTCCTTCCTTCCTTCTTTCCTCACCACGACCACCTCCTTCCCTCCTTCCTTCCTCGTCACCCCCACCGCCACCCCCAACGCCCCCACCACCGCCCCCACCACCCAGCCTCATCCCTGACATCATCGCCTTCATCCCCTGCAGGAGAGAGCGGCGACGAGGACTTCGAGAGCCCCTGCTACGAGGACCTGGGATGCCTCTACACCTCCAAGGACTTCTACCACCCGTTCCACCGCCCCGTGAACGTCCCGCCGTACTCTAGGGAACAGGTGAACGTCAGGTACACTCTGTACACGCGCAGGAAACGTGAGGGAACGACCGTCGGCGCCCAGGACGTGAAGCATCTGGTCAACACGAGTTTCAGTCCTTTTAAGAAAACCAAGATTCTTATTCATGGGTTTCTCGACACGAATACGGTGACGTGGATGTTGGTAAGGACGTGGGTGACCCGTTGTTTGTTTATTTATTTATCTAGTTTTCACATCCATAGGTCAGTATGTGATACATCCGTACATTTATGCTAAATACGAACAACATGTATCTATCCCCTATTATGATAAATAACATTTGCCTATATTTTATAATGGCGTGATTAAACAGCAAAGGCTATCGGCAGCATCTGTCTATAC